TTGCCGCTTACTGTTCTTTCGCATTTTGTTTGTTTACGGTAAATCATGCGGCAGCGTTTGAACGCACACATGTATGTATATATGTATAGACCTACAAATATGTATGTGTGTATTTCATTGCGTGCGTTGTTGTTATCGTACGCACTCTGCAGTTGTAATTGTTTTACTTCTCATTTTAATTTTTTTCCGAATAACCGTTTTATATTACTGCCACTCTTGTTATTGTTATTTATGTTGGTTTTAGAACTGCGTTGCAAGTACCGTTGTTATTTCTTGACTGCAACTGCATTTTCGCAAATCAATTGCGCTGCTTTTGCAATATTTTTGCGCCCATCTTCGGGTTACATTTGTTGTTGTTGTTATTGTAGTTATTGTTGCCGCAATTTTATTGTTTATCTATTATAGACATACTATGTATTTATTGATGCAGCGGTATTTCATCGGTTGCTCTGTTCTGCAAATAATGCTGCCATTGTTGCCACCCGGTTTTCTTGGTATATCGCTACCCACTAACCAGCCGTCGTAAACCAGACCTACAACTGATCTGCTCTTGTCTCTGTGGCAAATTCGTTGCCGTCACAGGCGTGGATACCAACACAAACATATTTTTAAATTAAATAGAAATTTCCATTTAATTAAAACTCTCGACAGCTATATCATGAAAGCTGCTCTCTAAAAAATTTGCCAACAATTTGCGATTTCAATTTGTTTTATTCGGCAAACATTTTTTAGGTTAAACTTCCGAAAACATTCCCCCAGCAAGCGTTGTTCTTGCTGTATATTTGTCACTGCACCGGATGTTCTCCTATAAAAGCTGAGCTCATAATACATAAATCTTAGATGATTGTGTGCAGAGAGTTGGCAACTCTAGCACAATGCTTTCGTCTGTCTAGTTAATTTATTTTTGTTAAGAGTTGATCACTATATTTTTTAAATAGGTCTTCATTAAAAGCTTTCCGAATATTTATATACTGTTACAAGTATTTATTTCGATAGGATGTCTTAAACTAGCTTCTTTTGATATACATTTTATAAAATTTTGTTATGCTTTGTCTGAACTTTTAATGAAAAGTGGCAACTCTATTTTAAAATATATCTACTTTTAATACCTTATGAATATTTTTTTGCAAAAACGTAATAAACGTAATATATGTCTCAATAAAGATTTCCAAAATTCTTTCCATTTGATTACCATATTATGACAGAACAAGAATCCCGTATAATATTTTTAAAAAATATTTTTTTGTGAGTAATTTTTTCAGTGAGCGTGAGAGCAAGATCAAGTTTTTTTTGGTTTTTAGAAATAGGTTACGACTAAAAAATTTTGCCTTCGGCAAGTGCCCATCTTAGCGTTGAAATTTCCAAACTCATTTATGATATTCCCAGCTTTAAATTAAAGATATTTGGCTTTGAAAAGCTTTGCTTCAATTAGAGCGTGGATGCCGAAGACATCGAAAGACTGTATTAAGTTTATCGGGCTCCTACTCATATAGCATTATACAAAAAGTTTTCATACGTTTTTAATTTTCCTTGATACCCAATTCAGGTATTTGTATCCAAATCAGAGTCTAAGAGTTTGAAAAATCTAAGAAATCCCAAAGTCATTGATGAGGAGGTCTGTCATCAGATATTTCTTAATTTGAAGTAAGCAAGAAGCGTTATTGAGATCGATAATATCTTGTCGTGCTTCAATGTTTAGTTGGAAGTCAAATTTTTGCAAAGGACAAATATTCGTATTTTCTTCTAAATTGCACTCATTTATTATTTATTTTGTATTTAAAATTATTCTATATTATGAATTAGTTTGTTGAAATTATCGTTCACGCATAGATTAATAAAAATTAGAATTAAAGAGAGCGGAAAAATTATACTACTTTGAATGTGGGTTGTTGTGATGATCAATAATCTTGAAGCCCACGCAAAATCTGAACAGCAGTTTGTACAATAAAGCGCCAAGATGATTTTATGAACGGTTATACATTCTTTTTTATTTATTTCTGACTGATAGTGAGAAAAAATTTGTCAATTTATAAAATCATCTATTGCTGAGCTCTTTTGGTTTCAATCCACCGAAGAGAAGATATCATTTTATAGGTAATATTATGATCTTCACAGTTTCTATTCCTAAGTCATCTCTTAAAATATTAAAAGTGTTGAAACCCTGTCTAATGTAATTCTGAATAACCCACATAAAAGCGTAAGGCAAGTAAGCTTTTTATTGACTAATCACCACCCCATTGATAAACAATTAAATGAAAGCTTCCATCATTCTACCCTCTTCCACCTGTAAACCCTGTAATAAAAGGTAGTAAGAACAAAAAAACGAATTTATTATGTGCTCTTTACATATTGGCCTTAACACTATATATTCGTGGGGATTTTCTTGTGTTTGACAGCAATCTTCATCGAGTTTTGCATCTTTAAACTTGTTTGACCGCCCACCACGTATTTCGTCTTTGAAGCCAAACCACTTTTAGCAAGGTCGCTGAGATAGCTCATGTTTACCATAAACTTTCACAAAAATATGGTGACTTTCGGCTGAGGTTTTCTTCATATTACAGTTATAAAGAATAGTTTACCGCCGTAACACTTTTCCAGGAATGAAGCTCGACATATATGAGTAAAAAAAAATTATTGGTGTTTACGGTTTATGCGAATGACATACTACGCAACACTAAAAAAGGCGCACAAGAACAATAGTTTTTCAACGCATGGTCGAAACATTTAATCAATAGCGTATTAATCAAATTTCGTCCAACCGCAAGAATATACATAGCTATAGACCCAATGATAACATTAGATCTTATTGTATTAATAAAACTCAATTTACAAAAAGTCAAGATTCATAAAAAATTGAGCGCTGACACGCTCATTTTCAAATATATTTTATAAAAACTTTTTTTTTTTAAATTTGCACCGAAGCTATAAGCGTATTAACACAAAACAACTATATGCAATAGTGATCCGATATCGGCGGTTTCGACAAATGAGCAGCTGCTTGAGGAGAAAAGGACTTGTGCAACATTTCAGATCCATATCTCAAAAGCTGAGAGACTAGCGTGTAGACAGATGGACATGGCAAAATCGTCTTAGCTCTTCATGCTGATCATTTCATATATCTATTTTTTAGGGTCTCCGACTTTGTTTTGGGGCATTACAATCTTCGTGGCAAATTTAATATGTTATACCCTGTTCTGTGTATAAATATATAAGCATACATACATCGATGGATTTCAATATTCATATTATTCCAGTTGTTTTTGCAATTTATGTGCAACTCAACTAATAATGTTGCTATTGTGGTTGTTATCATAAGTAAGTACAATTAAATTAATGCTCTTAAATGCTGTGTGAAAATCTGCAGCATTGGAAGTGTTCACCAACAGTGATTGCAAGTTGAATGCGGAAACTGTGGCAAATGTCTGACGGTGAGTTAATTGCAACAGCGCCGCCTGATGGTTGCAACACGAATGCAACATTATTTCAACACCTACAAAGCACAAGCATATACTTATAGATCTGTATATAGTTATGCATATTTGTTTGTATATATACTTATACAACTGCATATATACATACATACATAGTATGTCTCAAAGTATGTATGCATGTCTGTATTTGTGATTGCTTGCAATTTTCCGACACTACAGCAATGGCTGCCTATCTGTGACGATTGCCAATCGTTGTTGCATAGCAGCAATCGATTTGTTGTTGATTTTTCAGCAATATTACATTGTTGCCACAAATATTGCCACAACTGTTGCTGTGCCTCCTGCTGCATTGGCATGCCGTTACTATGCGTAATTTGCATATAAATTGTTTTTGTAATATGTATTATGTTACACGCTCGCTCTTTCTCTAGCTTCGTTGCTAGTCACACACACACACGCACGCTCACTATGCAGTGATTAGCTTACAACAGGTGAATGAATGGAAAACGTTTGCGGCATTAGTTGTATTGCATAATTTCAACAGTTTCGTCTCGTTTTTCTTATTCTTGTTATGTTGTTGCTGTTGTTATTGCTGTCGTGCATTTGGCGCTTGGGAAGCTGCAACAGTGGCAACGAGCGGCAGGTCAGGCAGTCCGCTTGGCCCGAAGGCAACCTAAGCCAACAATATATGCAACAAACATTGTGCTAAATGTAAAAACAACAACAACTTACCACAATAACAATAAAAAATTATTTACTTACTTAGTTCTAACGGTTTGCTGGAAATACTATAAAAAGCACACGCTAGCAAAGTAAATATGACCGTCAAATGAGTCGAGTGTCTTTTCTGTTTCTCCCTAGTCAATTCTTCAGTCTTTTTTATTGTTGGCATTCATTTTATGTTGTTTGTATTTGTTATTGCGCTTGTTACTGTCGGCTGTCACGGCGGCAAATGTTGCATCTCATTTGCGTGCAACACTGTTGATTCACTCAAGAAAAGTATGGTTAGGATGAAAAACTGTGTATACTCAGCGCCACTTTATGGAAACTGTGCTAAAGCGTCACTAACGCTCGTATTGTTCTCTGTTTTTATGCTAAACGGCCAAATAATGAAAGAAAAACGGACTTCAGAAGTAAAAGAAAATTGTAAGCTGAGCGTAATTTCTGTGAAAAATTTAAAATCAATTAAAAAATTTACAGATATTTATTTATTTAAGTAAAATGAGTAATTTCAGATTTTGTCAATTATCTAAAACATTGGGTCAAATAACATTTTTATATTTTATTTTTAATTTTAAAATGACGATTAATTGCATGATGATAAAAAAGCGAGTTTTTTAGAAAAAAATTTTAATCAATTTCGGAGATTGTGCCTATGCCTTGGGCAATAAGCCTTGCGAAATTTTGTGACAATATCCATACAAGAACATGGCAGCTATATTCTATAGTAGTTCGATCTTAGCAATTTCTTCTGAAATTCCATTGTTGCCTTAGATAATAATTCATACCGAATTTCGTGAAGATATCTCGCCAAATGAAGAAGTTTTCCATACAAGCACTTGATTCCGATCGTTCAGTTTGTATGGCAGCTATATGATATAGTGGTCCAATATCAGCGTTTCCGACAAATAAGCAGCTTCTTTAGGAGCAAGTAACGTGTGATTGATTTTATTCCTTCCAAATACATTAATTCTGGCGATATCACTGAGACCTGATACCTGACTAAAGCGTTATTCTTCTTCTTCTTCTAAATGGTTGAAGAGGAGTTCCAACTTGATGTTTGTGTTACATCCTAGTCTCTGGAAGTGCAAGATGAGCTGCTCAATAGGTTGAATGTAGTTTTGAGACCTTTTATTACCTAAGAAATTTTGCACAACCCTAATAAATCAATCCCCGCAGATTTCTTCTTACCTGTCATACAATCAGTAAATTGTTGGTTCTTTATTAGTTCCCTGACCTGAGGACCGACAAAAATACCAGCTTTAATTTTTTCGGTACTCAATTTCGGAAATATTTAACTGATATATAATATTTAAAATATTCCCCATCCCTGTTACCTAACTTTATATGTAGAGGGGGTAATATAATACGGTCTCTGGTTACGAGAGGGGCATTCATCACATTCATACTAGCCGCACCAAATTCACTCTCAAAGATCAAACGTTTTTACTGCAGTGATCTGTCTTGGCTCGGCTATTTGGTATATCCTTCTTGTTGACCCAAAAGAAAGTTTTTAGATCGACGCATATCCGTCAGTTATGTTCTATGTATTTTATTCTCAAAGTAGTTCAAATAGGCCTTTTTATAGAATCAGACGCACTTAAACGACATTCTCTAAGCGCAGTGTTATTAATTCCATTTGGAAATTTCATATAAAATGGTTTTATATCATTATCATTTTTATTTCTTCACTTATGATATCTATCTAAAATTATAAAAATAGGTTTTAATAATTTTACTTGTTTGTGCGTTTGCATAATAATTTTTTTTACTGGCAAATTCAATTTACAGCTAATTTTCATGAAAAACTATATTAGGATAGAACTTAAATTGTGTAAAAATTTTAATGTATCAATATATTTTTCTTTTCTCTGTTTAATTTCAGTAAATTTTGCCGTACCATCGCCTTTTTTGACTTGTCATTGCAGAGCAGCCAATCAGTGGAAGTGTAATGTAGCGCAACTCAAGTCAAGTATACTTAAATATATAAGTTTGTATGTATGTGAACCACTCAAGCATACAGTCAAATGGTAGATGAGTAAAGTCGACCACATTCGCCGACTGTTTTTCACTGTTGCTCATTCACTTCGAACAATATCTCAAGTAAAAGTGAAATTCTCAGTGCTATTATTTGGTGCGTAACAAAATGAATAAGCAATCAGTAATGGATAAATAAATAGTGTCAATAAAATTGTATGCAAACTGTGTGGGCAACAAAATATAAAAAATAAGAGTTGCCAGTGAACCAGTAGAGTGAAGCGTTAATAGCAACAATAGCACAAGAAATACAAGTGGAAATGCAAATAAATAAATAAATGAAGTTACAGTGAGCTGATTATTTATGTATATGTGGGTGTGAAGATGTATGTACATACAAGTATATAATAAAGGGGAGAATATTGTGCAATAGAGCAGAGCGCGCAATACATTAAAGCGAAAGAAGGAAATATCATAATAAAGCGATATCAACGCACACTTTGCAAGTAAGTAAATATACCGGCATACTTAATTCATAAAAATGTATGAATAATTACTTTTAAAAGTTCATAATAATTTTAAGAGTTTGAGTGTAATTAATATATTTTATACGTAACTTCTAAATTATTATCTGTGTGATATTATTTTATTTTGGTTTGTCGAAACATTTTCTATTCATTGCAAAGATCATTGCTCTACCTTTTATTTTAAATATTACATTTAAACATAGACAATAGTAATTTTAATTTCACTATTATTTTTGAATTAAAAACGCTACAGTTGTGTGAAACAGTTGTGAAAAATTGATTTCGATTGCTTTTGAATGCAACGTGGACATACAAAAGCGTTTCATGGATACGGAATATAAATTTTTTTTATTTTATCTTACATTCTAGATTCGGATATACCTTAAACATATCTGACTCGCTAATCAATAGGTCGAAAAAAGCTTTATTCAGTACCTAATTAACGCATCAATCGATTTTCTCCATTCTCAAAACAAACAAATTAGGTTTTTGTTAAGATATATACTTATAAGATATATAAGAGCATATGCATTAGTGGAGATCTTAAAATAACGCCAAGTCAGGCATCAAACGTCAAGGACCGGACGAGGGTTTCTTGACGATACACGGATAAAGCTATTAGTACTGATGAACTTCATCAGAAGCACGTGGTGGTTCAGTGTTCAGAGAGTACGCAATAGAGTAAGTGATTTTAGTGCGGGTGGTTTAACAGGCTTACTCCAATTCACTCATTTTACCCTAATAGCATGAAATGTGTCAGCATAAAATATAGTTGCCATATATGTATATATATTGGTACACAATGTATTAAAATTAATTTTTGTAACTTTATTAGTGATTAAATTATGATTTTTTCGTGGGACCTGGATTACTCATGATATATAGGAAATCGTCTACAAAGTTCTCACAAAAAATCTCAGTCATGGGTTGTATAGATATACTGATAGACACTTAGACGGCTAAATAGATAAATAAATGGACAGACGGGCAGACATTTGGATAATAACTCATATGGTCACCCGGATAATTATGATATATATAACTCTCGCTAAGGTTTAGGTGTTACAAACAACCATTAAATGAACTAAAATGTTATATATGATATTGTTCTATATATATATATGTAATAATATATATATATACATTCTATTTTTTTATATTAATAACATTAATATATGTATATGTATAAATAATTATGAAAAATAATAATTTTAAAATAATTTTTTAATTGTTTCTTTACAGGAAAATATTTGAAAAAAAGTTTAATAAACAAATAAATAAAGTCGTTCGAAAATCACATGCAATATAACCAAAACATAAATAATATTGAGGCAACAACAATAACTAACTACAAACAAAGTAGCAAAAATTTCGCCAACGAAAAGTGCAACTTTTCGATTTCTTTTGTCGAAAGCAAGCAGCGCTAATTAAACGGCAAAAACAAAGCAAACAAAAAAATCAATTTGCAACATGCCTCCCACAGCTTGTAAAGTGCCTACGAAGTTGTTGTGCAACAACCGTTAAGCGTAAAGCTAAGAAAGTGTGCAATAAACAAGCGTTTGCCGGATTTTTTGAGCGATACGCCTGACAACTACTACGCCCAGCAACTAGCGGTATCTAAGAAAAGTGATAATTAAAATTTTCAGCAAATAAAGAGGAAAGAAATAATAATAATAATACAAATAAAAAGCTGAGAAGTCATCAACCGCGTAGAGTCAAATGCATTAATTGCGTCGGCGTAATTGCAGCAATTGGCGCTATAGTGCAGGCAATAATAACTCGTTGCAACAACATACGTGAGCATCGGCGACACTTTGCAACATAGCGCCTACTCATATTCGTCACAAACGCCGTCAAGCTTCTCCGATTGGTGTAACTTTTTGTCGCTTACAACGCGCGCGCGTGTTTAAGCGTATGTGTGTGCATGTAAGTTAGTGTATTTTTTAATTGTTGCGTGCCGTGCTGCTGTCACACTGATTACCTTACCACACACTGTTGTCACAAGTTTTCGTTGTAATTTTACAAAAAGTCACCATTGTAATGGCCACATTTGCTTGAGGCAGATTGCGGAGCTGACGATTTTTCTTTTGGTGAGTACTGAAGCAATATAAAATTAAATGTTATACCAAAAAGTCTTAAAGAAACATTTACTTTAAATAAAAAGTGTAGCACAAGCACCACATCTCTTTTAAAAACACTTACTTCATAGCTTAAATGTAAATACAATTATTTCAGTCGCTTAGTCCGCTTTACATTTTGAAGACAAGAGATCTAAATATGTCTCAAAAAGTATCTCATGCTTTCGTCGTTTTCGAAAAACTTTCAGATCTTGCAGACTGCAACATAACTTGGTCATAGTTAAAGAAATAATTATAAGTATAAGTAAAAATTAAAGTATATTTATAAGTATAAGTATAAGTATAAGTATAAATATAAGTATAAGTATAAGTATAAGTATAAGTATAAGTATAAGTATAA